TTTTTCCCTTTATCCCTCTACTCACCATCTAATTGGACAAAGTTGCTGTAATAGGTCCTTGATACCAAATTGAATGAAAGGCAGGCTTTACAAATTCTAAGAACAGGACAAATTGCTGCCAGTTTTGTGGGATAATGGAAATGTATTTATTAGTGACATGATAATGGATAAGATGATTTAATACTAAAGTGTGCAGTAACATGCTATTGAAACATTGAGAAAAGGAGATGGAAATTTTGTTTTCACTCATGGGAGATGGGCATTGCTGGCTCGGCCAGCATTTATTATCCACATCTAACTGCCTTTGAAAAGGTGGTGGTGAAATAAGAGGTTGTGGACTATGCACCTAGCCCCAAACATCAGCCTTAGTGTGTTATAAATGTTAAAAAAAAATCACTAGTTTAATTCCCTTAGCATTTCTTCTGGGTAATTTGTAATATATGGGGCAGTTTCTGATAGTTACCATAACATGACAACAGCCTAAATAATGTCACAGTAACACAGCAAATTTGCTGAAATGATAGCCATCATTTTAAAAGAGTTACAAACATGTGGCCTGTGAGCCTCAAAGTTGTAGCAACCTGTGCAATTCAGGAATGTGGAACCCTGCCTGATCTTATCTCAACATGATAACCTTTGCTGGAGTCCTGCCCAAATTCAGCCAGGTGTGCTGTCAAGCCAGTATGCAACAGTGGAAGATCACACGCAGGAGTCCACAGCCTGTAATCTGAAGGATAATTTTCCAGCAATCAGCTACATGGATGGGAATGGAAATGTGGAAAGCTGGGGTAAGACAGCCCCCAAAACCCCTTCTGAGGCAGTAAAGACAGATCAACCCAGCTTTCTTCCAGTGAAATCTAACATAGTGAAAAGTATACTACAAAAATCAAAAATGCAAGGCAAATAGTATTTGCACAAGATTCATAAGCAAATCACGCAGTAAGGAGCACTAAATCTAATATAAGTTTATCTTTACTCTAATATATCTTTATTATATGCCAGTTACAATAAACACCAAAGGCGTCCGAACTAAATACATTTGCTCATTATTATGCAACAACTTTAATTCTGTACCATAACTTCAATTGTAAAAGTTACATTCAGGTCAGAGTGAAAAGCAGGGGAACTCACTTGTGTTTCACATTTATACAAAGTTTCAACTTCCCTCAAACAGCAAAGATGCCAATTTGAACCTTTATTTAATCACACTGAGCTACAAAGTTTCAAGTCTGAGTGCTCCCATGTGAAGAATTCAATTATTATAAACATATTAGTAGACAAGATTATTTTTGTCATTCCTGTATTTCTGTTATGTGATTAATGTGTTGCAAATGTGCCCTTATGCACGCATAATATTAGATAAGTCTGAATGTGCAAGGTGAGCATTTTCAGCATGGAAGCTTGCCACTCATACTTCACAGCCTTTGCACTCAGAATAGTGATACATGTCCAGTTGAATGACTGGATCTGGTCCTGGCAAAAGTCACAGCAATACATATCAAAGGTTGGGTGCTAATGGGAAAGCAGAAAGATTTTTTAAAAAGGTCTTTATTTTTAACTGTACTTTAGACACAAAATATTGTAGAAAGGCATTGCTGTTAAATTCTAGACCATCCACTAGAAATAATGGAGGTGCTTGCACCCTACATTTATGACCCCAATTCTGGGATTTGGATTGATTACACAAGACTGTAGGAGAGAACTTTAAACCAATTGGTATGGGTTTGAGCTGGTTGAAAAGTGACCATGGCTTGAACTTGAATATTCAAGGATATAGTATTCGATACTTCAGATGGACAGGAAGAAAGGAGTGTAAAGATGTGGAGGTTAGGTGCTAAGTTGCCCATAGTATCCAGGGATGTGCAGACTAGGTGGGTTAGCCATGTGATATGCAGGGTTACAGAAATAGGATAAGGAGGGTTGGGTCTAGGTGGGTTGCTCTTTGGAAGGTCGGTGTGGACTTGATGGGCCGAATGGCCTGCTTCCACATTGTAGGGATTCTATGATTCAATGTTTCTAGGAGAAGGAGGTGGGTAGCTCTAAGAATAAAATGTTAGATCAGTAGATTAGTACAACATTATCTCAGTGTTTTGCCCTCACTCCCAGCATAACTCCAATGATGTTATTAAAATATAATAATTTTCCCAATGACAAATATTAGACTAACTGGCCAATAGTTTTCAGTTTTATTTCTCCTCATTTCTTAAATAGAGGTGTGATAATTGTCGTTCACCAGTCCTCTGGCACCTTTCCATAATCAAGGGATTTTTTTGGAAGATTACGATCAATGTTCCCCATAATTTCTGCAGCTATTATCTTAAGACCTACAGATGCAGGTCATCAGATCTAGCAATTGTCAATGGTTTGTTCCATTAGTTTCCCTGGTACATGTTTTCCAGTCATTGTACTTGCTTTATATTCCTCCCTCCCTTTTACATCTTGATTTTCTAATATTCTTGAGATGTTTTTTATGTCTTCTACTCTGAAGCCACAAACAAAATACTTGTTCAAAGTCAGACACTTTTTGTTTCCCTTAATCAATTCCCCAATCGTACTCTCAGGAACTGAGACTTAACCTAACTATTGTTTTCCTTTTTGTGTTTGTTTAGAAGACTTTACTCTCTGTTTTTATAATACTTGCAATTTCCCATATATACTCCATTTATTCATTTAATCATTCTTCACTGATTTCTAAAACCAATTTCCAATATATTTCTATGGCATATTATTAATCTTTGTGGGACTATCCATATTTTATTTTAGCTTGACGTCTTACTTAACTTCCTCAGTGAGGCATAATGGTAGATCCTTCTCATACAGTCTTTCATTCTCAATTGAATATGTTTGTCAAGAGTTACGAAATGTTTCCTTAAATGTCTGCCACTGCTTCTTCAGTCTCTCTTTAACTTCCTTCCTATTACACTTGACCAATTCTGTCTTCATACCCTTATAATAGTCTTTGTTTGTGTTTATACACTAGTTTCAGACTCACTTTTCTTACCCTTCAGTAGAATGTGAAATTCTCTCAAGTTATGATCACTCTTACATAAAGGATTCTCCACTATGAGGTCATTAATTAATCCTGTTTCATGATATTTTGCATGAAAGAGACTAAAATTGGAATTATCTAAAATAACACAATTAGCTGAAAGAGCCTGTTCCCTTTTTGGTTTCATAAAATATTCTTCTCGGAAGCGACGCTGAATACACTCTATTGGACTCGTCCTCCTGGCTACTTTTACCAATTTGATTCATAAAATCTATACAAAGATTAAAGTCTTCCATAATGATTGCAGTACCTTTCTTACAAATCCCTATTTTCCTCGGTTTATTCCCTGTTCTACAGTGTAGCTACTGTATGTGTAGGTGTGATGATACCCCAGACTCAGGGAGGGTGCTTATCTCTATTAAGCTGTAGGCTTTGGCATGAAATTGGGTGATGGGGGAGGTGACTGCTGTACCCAAATGTTGTAGAAATGCTAGGACATTTTCTGAATTGCCCTCTATTAGACCGTTAAAAATGCAGATTGGCAGAATGCTATGTTGCAACCACCAGTCAGTCAGCACCCTGGCCAACCGCAGAGAAATATCCTCAGAGGCAGGAATGCATCAGAGATCCATCCCAATGTAGCTCTCTGCTATTTTGTTGTTTCTCCCTTCGCAACACCACTAACCCCCACTCCTCAATTTCATTCCTTTTCTCCCACACGGGCAAAGAAAATCTTGTTTTCAAGGCACAAAACTGAATTGAGTAATGTTGCATCTAGCAATGCTAGAAAACTCTGCTTAGGCTTTCTGGGAGCAGACTCTGGAGCTCACAACGTATTTTTACAGGATATGGGCGCATATGTCTCTTTCCTGCACCAGATCACATTGATTTGTTGCGATTCTGATGTCACACAGCCAAACAGTCTAGTTGGCTAACTGGTTTGCAGCTGTCATAAAACCTATTAGGCCCTTGTAGCTCACTGGCAGTATCTTAATATATCCCAATGCCTTCGAGGACTGACAAACAGAGATTTCACTGCACTTGTTCAGGCAGCACCAGCTCCACACTGTGTTATCTTATTTTTGCCCAGTTTGCTTTTGCTAACAAAAAAAGAATTTGCTGCAAAAGCTCAGCAGGTCTGGCAGCATCTTTGAAGAGAACCTCAGAGCCCTGAGGAAGGGTCACAGGACTGGAAACATTCACTCTGATTTTTACTACACTGATGCTCCCAAACCTGCTGAGCTTTTCCAGCAACTTCCTTTTTTTGTTCCTGATGTACAGCATCCATAGTTCTTTCGGTTTTTGCTTTTGCTAAACTCAGTTTGTAAGTAAGGAATTGTTCAGCAGAGTATTGCCACATAACCTCTTGGCATTCTGGTCCAACAATGTGAGAGAATGCTAACTTTCTGGGTGGATTTTCCCACGAGTGCCCCTACTTTTTACAAAAGGAGAGAGCTTCACAGTTCTGCCAAGAGTTCTGACGGGGTCGGGGGGGGTGGGGGGGGGGGGGGGGCGGGGGGGGGGGGGGGGGAGGTTGGGTGGATGCTGGAAAGAGGTTGGGTCCGGAGCTGTGAAAGACTGGATGTTAGGTCTGGAGCAGGAAAGGGCTAGTGTCCTGGAAAGGTGGGAGGTTGTTAGGTCAGAGTCTGGGTGAAGTGTAGTTGGGTGTGTGTGAGATAAGTATGGGGTCAGTTTGATAGTTATTGTGGAGTTTGCCTATGTAGTTATCAGTCTAACTTTTCCTGAGTAATTATTTAGTTAATTCTGTCGGAACAAATCCTTCAAAACTTGTATGATGGATATTCCATAAGGTCCCCGGGCTCAAATCCCACCTACGCCATAATAACAATTGTTTGGTTGTCAGAAAATGTGATTTACTGGTAGAATTATTTATAGTGTAAGATAACTTGTTTCCATCTTTCTGAATTTTGGGGACTATTTTAGCCATGTGTGGCCTGCTAATAAGAAACACTTAACAGTCTGAATGTTTGGACTCATTGGTGATTTTTAATGATATATCTGCAGGTCATAAACCAAAACTGCAGGTTTAACACTTAGGCACTGATTGGATGCAATTTTCCTGTAGCTGCTTATGTAACCTGCACACAATTACTTACACTTAAAGTATGTGGCTTGGAATGGAATAATATGTTAAGGAACAAGGGAGAGATAGCGCCCAGGTTCTTTGCTGCAGCAAGCATGAAGCTCATAGTGGACAAAGTGGTGAGGAGGAGAGATGGTGTCTACACAGAAATGGAGGAAGATGCCACAAAGACAACCGATGTGCAGAATTCGGGAGATCACAGGCAGAAGCCTTAGCCTTTGAACATGACGCAATACTGCAAGAAATTTGATACCTTGATGTAAGTGATTAAGGTAAGATACCGTCACACAAATACACTTCCTGATAATTGCATCAACATAACTGCTAGCACAACTTCAATGCATTTTATCTACCATCTGATATTTATGCACTGTATTGTACCTTTTATAACAATGATAGCATCTCAGACATATCTCACAGTCCTTCAGAGATATGAGGCAGTGCGCACAAATGTTTATAATTTCCAATCACTCAATTACAATCACCTTTGTTCTCCTGTTGGTAGAAATTACATGTATCAGCTGGTGGCAGGACCTGAATGAGGATGGGAAGCACGACATTTTGATAGAATTCCCCGTGAGGAGGCAATGCCCATGAAGGGAGTGACAGAAAGCACAGTGAGAACTGGGGCCATCTCACCAAGAGGAGTCTGGTCACTGCAATTTATGTGTGGATGCTCAACTATCTGATCGTTAATCACCCAAATTTATTTTCACTCCCAAATTTTGCACGATCTCATCTTACACATCTTATATGGACCACAAATGCAGGAAAGTAGTCCTTCAAGAACTATCATTGCAGGGTCTCAGGAGCAAGGTTTCCTTTCATCTCCACTCACCCCAAGATCAAGTGTAAAAGCAGCAGCCATCATATCCCTTCTATCATTATACGATTGAGCAAAACCTGCTGAATAATCCTAAATGCACTTGTAGCAACACTAAAAACCAATTTAAGATGATCAATCAAGCTTGTTGTGTGGTTCATATATGCTTGTGGTAAGTGATATACATTTATGTGCCAGGACCAATTCTGTGCAAACAATAAGAATATGTCTAAGCTTTGTAATTATTACGAATTATATAGAAACACGAGGAATCCACAGTTCCCGTTACTTTCTTCATGTCAAAACGTTGGCCAATCACAGTCAACTTGCCAACCAAGCAGTCCCTTTCCTTCTGGAGTTTTTATTGTTATGACAGTTTGAGATTTGGCATATTTGGGTGTGTCTTGATGAATGGAAGATAAAAAGTCACATGTCTCTCTTTTCAGCAATAATTTAAATAGTATTCAAAATCCTCAGCATGGCTCTGTTTACTCCTATTCAACTGACTGTCATTAGGTGAGGTCATTAAATCATTAAATGAGTTAAATATCCGCCAAAATGGTGCACAGCCTCTTTGAGCACCAGTACTAACATAAATATCTGTTAGCAACACTAAAAGCCCTGAGGTAGCTACTCCTAACACTGCCTTCAAGTGTATTACCAGAATTGTGCTTTGAAGTGTGAAATGAACCATTTAAGGCCAACCTTGGCCATCTCTTTGCTTCTTTAGTACCTAAAAGTATTCAATTAAAATTATTGACCAAGTGCGCTTGGTTTTATGTCGTTCACAAACTTGCACAGTATGATTCCAGAAACAACAGTAGTTAATTTATTTTGGTTGCATTGGTTGATAAATGGATGTTGATATGGACAGCAGGAGAACTCTCTGTTCTTCCATGATCTTAAAAGAGGTGGCTAATGAGGTTGTGGATGCATTGACTTCCATTGGACTGGAAAGTAGGAAATATCCTCTATTCAAGAAGCAAGGGAGGCAGAAAACAAGAAACTATCAACAAGTTTATTTATTGTCTGTTGTGGGAAGGTATTGGAGTCAATCATTAAGGGCACCTGTAAAAATTCAAGGTCATCAATAAGAGTCAGCATGGTTCTGTGAAAGGGCAGTTGTGTTTAATCAATTTAATGGAACTCTTTGAAGAAGTAACTCAGACCATCGTTTTCAGGTTATTAGCTATAACAGAGGTAAGTGTCTGACGATGGAATGCAGTTCATTGGCAAAGAATTCCAACGTACACCAAGCACGGCATGACCCTTAGCACATCATTGCCTCCCTATCCATGCTGAAACAGTCCAGTGAAATATATGGTATGTACCATCAAATCCATGCTCATCAATTTTTGAGCAACAAAACAAGATTCTGCATCGCACTACTACAATTTTGTGTAACTCCAAAGGACAGGAAATTATCATGCCCTGCATAACCGATGCTTGGAAGGCAAATATGCATGACACTGTCTAGAAACCAAATGTTCAACCACTTCAAGATGCAGGATATTCTTCTTCAACAATAGAGCAGAATGGAAGAGACACAGGACCAATGGTCAGGTAGAGAACTACCATAAAAGACACATTGGGCAGAGAGTGTAAATCAGAAAACCAGTCACAAATACTTGGATATCAACAAAGGTCTCTAAGATTTATAATCATTTTAAAACTAAAAGATAGATGGAGGAATCTGTACTGAGCAAAGAGTGCGCTGAATGTTGTCACCAGTGAAGTTTCCACATGAAGTTTATGTTCCAGTAGTAGCTATCTCTGGCCTCAGGCTTGTTGAGATAACAAGGTGTAGAGCTGGAGGAACACAGCAGGCCAAGCAGCATCAGAGGAGTAGGAAGGCTGACGTTTCGGGCCTAGACCCTTCTTCAGAAAGGCTTGTTGAGTTGTGTTGTGTGATCACTTCCAGTGTTGGGATATGATAGGATTCCATTTTATTTCCATTTGGGATACAAATTCTTAGCCTTCCATTTATCTCCTGTCTTACCACAATGGAATTTACCCAATTTGTAAGCTCTTAGACACAGATAATCACATTTTCCCTTCTCTTGGATTGCTCTCTCAAGCTTCACTTTTTCATTTAAGTGTATATTACATGAGGAAGAATCATTGGTTTCTTCACTGAGTCAATTATGTTATGATACTGAAAACCTGTAAATTATCTAACTCTCTCATCAAAACATCCTGGATGCAGTTTTACTAGATCTACCTTAGTTCTGATTGGAGGGTACTTTTCAATGGCCTCCACCTTTACTGCATTGTTTACTGAGATATTCTGTAGCCCTTTGCAATGAACCAATGCTAAGACAGCAGGGCAAGCTTTTCATTGATGTAAAACATGCATTTAATATCCTTTTCTTCGTTCATCCCTTTGATTTGGTTTATTTTAGCTGTTGAATCTGATTTCTGAAAAAACGGTATTAGTGTGACATTGTTCATTTTCAGAATAATTTTCCTCAACCATTTTCTTTCACATTTTCAGTGAAGATCTTCTGCTATAGCCTGACTGGGATGATGCTGCTCTGTGCTACAGTATTAAGTGTTGGTTTCTGATTTATGACCGTAATACCTAAAGAATAGGAACAGGAGTGAGCCATTCGGCCCCTGAAACCTGCTCCGTCATTCAATTGGATCATAACTGGACTGACATTCCAGGTCCACTTTCCTGCCCTTTGCCCATAACCCATGAAAATCTCTACTCGTCAAGAATCTATCTATCTCAGCCTTAAATATTCATAAGGACTCTGCCCCCACAGCCCTCTGTGGCAAGGAGTTCCAAAGACTCACAACTCCTTGACAGAAAAAAATTCCTTCTCATCTCCATCTTAAATTGGGCCTCCTTATTCTGAGATTATGCCCTCTGATCCAAGACGCACCCATCAAGGGAAACATCCTCTCAGCATTTACCCTGTCAAGCCCCTTAAGAATCCAAATGTTTCGATTAATTCATTTCTCATTCAATGAGTAGAGTCCTAACTTGAGCCTCTGCTCATAGGTCAATCCCTCCATACCAGTGTTTATCAGAACCTTCTCTGAACTGCCTCCACTGAAATGATACCTTGCCTTAAATAAGGGGAGCACACTGCTCACAGTACTCCAGATGTAATCACGCCAGCACCTTGTATGGTTGCGGTAAGATTTCCCTACTTTCATACTCCAAACCCCTCGAAATGAGGGTTAACATTGCATTTGCCTTCCTGATTACCTGCTATACCTGTGTGCCAGCTTTATGTTGTGTACCCCCAAGTCTCCTTATGTTGCAGCTTTTTGCAGTTTTTCTCCACTTAAATAATACTCTATTCTTTTCTTCTCCCTTCCAAAGTGACCAACTTCATATCTTCCCGCATTATACTCCATTTGACAACATTTTCTCACTGTGGTTGGTTTGCTCGTTTGCCGAGCTGTTTTGTTATTTCGCAGACGTTTCATTACCCTGCTGGGTAACATCATTAGTGCAGCCTCCGATGAAGCGCTGTTGTGATTAACTCCAACGGACCCCAGAGTTCAAATATCAGGCGGGAAAACACAACAGCACTTCATCGGAGGTGCACTGATGACGTTACCCAGTAGGGTAATAAAACGTCTGCGAACTAATGAACCAGCTCAGTGAGAGAATCAACCACAGCATCCACAACCTGAGCTACAAATCTACTCAAGAAACTTTTCCTCACTTACTTAACCTGTCAATATCTCTCCGAAAGCTGTTTGTATCCTTCTTGAAGCTTGCCTTTCCACCTATTTTTGCGTCATCAGCAAATTGGGCTACAATACATTCGCTTCCTTACTGTAGGGTTGTAGACTTACTTCTCATCCTGTTCCTGATCTGAATGGTTGTGTGAGTTTTGTTTCTCGTGGATCTGCTGCATAAGCTATTTCATGCAGGAACTCATTTACCCTATTCGTTCTTTGTTCCGCACATTGTTTCTCAGAGTTTGGCCTTTCCACATGCTCTGCAGTTTGCACCATACATGGGACATTTTTTTCTGTGAAATTAAGCAGCTGTCCACAGATCCTGACCATCCTTCTTTCTGTCTCACATGTTCTTTTGTTGCTATTTTACTGTATGAGCCCAGCTGCCTTTCTATTGACAACAAGGTGCAGGGCTGGATGAACACAGCAGGCCAAGCAGCATCACAGGAGCAGAAAGGCTGACGTTTCGGGCCTAGACCCTTCATCAGAAAAGGGGGAGGGGAAGGGGGTTCTGAAATAAATAGGGAGAGAGTGTGAGGCGGATAGAAGATGGATAGAGGAGAGGATAGGTGGAGAGGAAACAAACAGGTCAAAGAGGTGGGGATGGAGCCAGTAAAGGTGGGGAGTTAGGGAGGGGATAGGTCAGTCCAGGGAGGACGGACAGGTCAAGGGGGGGGGATGAGGTTAGTCGGTAGGAGGGGGGGGGGCGGCTGGAGGGGGGAGGGGGGGATAGG